TGCTATCAATAAAGCTTATTCTCTTAGACTTTTTTCCCCATTCTGCATCAGGGTTATTGAGAAAGCAAAAGTATGCGAATGACATGCCTCTATACATTCTCTTTCTTCTTTAAGGTCTTCACTGAAATTTTAGAAAACTTTTCCTATTGTGATCCTGATCAGGTGAGTGCCAATCCATAAACCCCTGAAACCAACACACAGAGAAATCAATATTGCACAGAATATAAGACCACACGGGAATGAATCCTTTCACCTGGGAAAGGAATGAGCCTCTGAAAGTTTGGACGTTCATATGATCTTTTCCAAACCAAAACCAGACCCACGAAACCTTCTGAGGTTCACCTTGCAGTTCCTGGCACCATATATAATCAAGTAAATAGAAGAACATAAACCTTAGAAGACAAAACATGAACAAAAACAAACAAAACTTTCCTTTCATTTTCTTCCATAACAACTTAAAGGTAACAAGATTTGCTAAAAAATTCAAAACCTCAGAAGGAAAGTTACTTTTTAAAAGAAGCAGCATGTGGGCTATTATTAAAGTTGTTTTTCTTTTCTTTTATAAAAAATAAATCTCCAATCCCAAATCCTCACTTGACTTCAATTGTGTCAGAATTTCATTTCAGTTTGGTAAACACTATCATTTTCACTTCTCAGCTGAAAATGGAGGTCTCCTCCAAACTCCTTTGGGACCTGGTGGCCTCTTTGCAGAGCCCCTGAGATTGGGCTTTACAAAGAGGTGAAATAGGGTAGGAATGAGTAGAGGTAGTTCATGGTTGCTTGCACAGGAATATGTAAAACTCCTTTTGCCAACAAAATAATTTTTTTCCCCCCAGCACATTATCTCCTGATCATAAATTAGAAAAGAAGAAATAGGCTAAATGATAAACATATTCCCTTGAAATTTAATGCCATCTAATGTAAATTAAAATTAGAAATGTCTTCATGTAATTTTATTTGGAAAATGAAAAAAATTCAACTGAAAGTTTAAAAAGAATATTTTTGACAGTAATGGTGATTCAAGACTATTAAGAATATTTTCCTCTGAAGTGTTTAAGGATTATTTGTAACTTTAATTTGGGGATGTAAAGAAGTTAACTTTTTTTCTTTTGCTGTACTATTAATGTAAAAAAAAGATCAAAGAAAGAAAATAATTGAGATTCAAATTCCATTTTTAAGCAAAAATGACAATGTCTTCATGAGTTAATATTAATCCTTTAATTATGAATTTCAAAGGTTTAAATACTTTCTGTGACCTTGGCTTTAAATAATTATGCCAAGTGGAGCTTTCCTTAAATTCAAAAAAGATTCTGAATTGTTGATCATAGCCATTTAATGGCTTCAGGCTGGCAGATTTCCAACATAATCCTCAGAATGCTGTTTAAAATTACGGACCAAGAACCTGATGCAGGTAAATGAAATGTCAATTTCACAAAGACAGTTTGAACCGTATATGCATAGTCTTATTTTTTGTTGCGCCGTATCATTTTGTAATCAAATGTGGAATTTACCACACTAATACATGTTCAAATATTTAAAACAACTGTATGCTTACATACACACATGGCCTATTTTAAACATCAAGTAGTTTTCATTTTAGTTTAGCACAATGTTTAAATATGTCCTTTGATGACAATTATTTTCTTTTCTAAGGAACTGAAAATATTATAAAATAGATTTTAAAGTCTTTGGTGATCTTTTCTAGATAACTATATGCTGATTACGCCATTAAAAGCTGCAGCAGCCTAAATAAAAATTTATTCCTACTAAATAAGAATCCAATAATGGTGATATTTTTAAAACAAGAAAAAAAAAAAACCTCAATACAGAATAAGACTCTGATCTTGAAAACCCTTACCAACAAGCTTAACAATATTACCACAGATAAGTGACATTTTAGTGAGATTACTCACAGTAGAAAAGTTAAGCATGTACATAAGTGTTTGAAGGAACAGAGCCATAGTTATTTAAAAGGCCAGGCTCATTAGTTACTACTCCATCTGCATTAAACACTTAATCCTACAAACATGCACATGAATAACTTCAATCATATGAATAGTCAGATTGACTGCAATGGACCTGAATGAAGTTACTCACATGCATAACTGTTTGCAGGATCAGGCTCTATATTTAGGCTGGGATGTGCAAAGGAACTTAAGGAAGCTAGTCACTCAGATCCCATTGAAACTTGGTCACCTAGCTACTCTCTTTTGAAAATCTCAACCTTCAATGTTACTGCTATCTATACTTAAATATCTAGCAATATCTATTTTCTGACTTGGTTCTTATGACTACATACTGGCAAAAGATATTAAAGATTTTGCTTTAATTTGGCAGTGCAGTCACCAGTACTGTGAATTGAATACCTACGAGACTTGTGATTTAGGGCACGTCTTCACTACCCGCCGAATCGGCGGGTAGCAATCGATCTATTGGGGATCGACTTATCGCATCTAGTGAAGACGCGACAAAATCGATCCCCAATGGCTCTGCCGTCGACTCCGGAACTGAACCGCGGCAAGAGGTGGAAGCGGAGTCGACGGCAGCGCGGCAGCGGTCGACTCGCCGCCGTCCTTACAGCCAGGTAAGTCGACCTAAAATACGCAACTTCAGCTACGCTATTCACGTGGCTGAAGTGGCGTATCTTAGGTCGACCCCCCGCCACCCCGTAGTGTAGACCTAGCCTAAGTCTCTGCAGCACCAAACAAACTGAACCACTCCCATTAACAGTCTAGATTTCACCCAGGACAGAGAGGTTGGATCCAATCTCAGATGAGTAAATGGATCCAAGAAAAGCTAAAATATGTATATGCAAGTTCCTTAGTGCCAATGAGCCAACATCCTAAGGGAAATGGTAATGATATTAGCTGACAACACTGGTAAATGATCACATAAATACATCTGAAGGACAGGAAATGGAGAAATGTACATAGCAATTAAAAAAAAAATTGTAAAATGTTATTGAGGAAATTCAAAATACCATCTTTTATAAGCATGACATTATTTAAAATGTACAGAG